GCCGTCGGGGGGCAGGGCGGGCCTGCTAGGACGCGTGGGCATCGAGGCGTAATCGCCTAGCGCACATCTGCTAGGGCACGCGGCCACCGGGAGGGTGTGTGGGTGGCTCCGAGAGGGTGAGCGCCACCGGGGCGTGGTCACCTGGCACACATCCGCCGGGGCACGTAGCCACCAGAGAGAGAAGATGAGGGAGGTGTCGGGAGAAAGAAGGGAGAGGAAAAAAGTGACCGAACTAAAGGGTATTATAAACTTTTCAACATTTTTATCCACTAAGCAAACAGTTCATCAAAACAGATTCAACTTCATGGAGAAAACTATTTGTGAAGTCGAAGAAAAAAAAATGGCTCTAAGGAGCCGTGCTAAACAGAGCCTTAGCCCTTATGGCTATCTTCCAATCCAAGGCAACGTGTAGTTTGATCCCTTATTTCTGTAACCTTTCTTCGATGATTAAATCAGCCGGCCGGTGGAACGTTCAACCTCAGACGGAAACCCACCATCGCGTGGCCGTCCCCCACCGAGCAATCAGGCTGTGAGCGAACGACAGCTCGGCCACAGAGAGACAGAGTCCGCTGTAGACTTGTATATACGCATGGCTATCTAATCAAGTAAAGAAGAGGAGCCCTCTAGTAGAGAAAGAATGAGAAGGCGTATCAGCTAGGCTGGTTGCTCCAGCCGGTAGCGGCGTGCTTGTGCTGGCTGGATGCCTCTCTCTCTCTCTCTCAACACCCGCGCGTCTGTCCAAAGTTGCGTGTGCCATCTGAGCAAGTGCCATCATGGCCGCCCTACCACACCTTTAGAAGAATAGCACACATGCACATGCAGCAGAGCATGTCCACAAGCTCCGAAGCCGCTATATATCCGATCGAGGATGCCCTGGCAAATCCACTCCCAGATGTGCATACCTTTGCTTGATAGCTAGCTACATACTCTGGGCGTACGTGCAGAGCGGAAGAATTCAAATACAGGTATATATATGTATCTCTCTATATATATACATATGTTACCACATCATTATACTCAGCCTTTGTCTGTGCTTATATATTTGAATGAAACATAACAAGGCACTGTCCTGCTACAACTAGTCCATCTATTATTATTTCCTGCTCATTTGCTAGTGTCTTGCCAAAATATAAATAAATTCATGATCAAGTGTCATTAGGATGGTCTATTTTCAAGTTAAGAATTAATATAAGTATATATGTTGAGTCCCCGCTATCACACTAATCATAATCGAACTTCAACATAATCATATGTGCAAACTCCCTCCATCCCAAAATACATGACGCTTTTGACTTTTAGACATCTTGTTTGACTGCTCGTTTTATTCAAAAAATTTATATAAATATTATTTATTTTGTTATGACTTATTTATAATTAGAGATACTTTAATAATGACTTATTTATTTCATTATTTGCACAAAAAACAGAATAAAACAAATGGTCAAACATGATATCTTAAGGTCAAAAACGTCATCTATTTTGGGACCGAGGGAGTACTTATTATTACTAGATTCCATTGATTAATTTTCTTGACTTTTTGTATTTTTAGTGGCTTTATTATGACCATTAAATAATGAATGAACTATAATAAACTTTTAAAAGGGCAATGTGCATAATCATTACAATTAATCTTCCAGTAGATCTGATCCAATTATATTGGGTTCTACTCTTGCTGAACTTAAAAATGCGTACTAACAAGTGATAACATTCCTGTTCCATGAAATTATTTCTCTTATATATAGATACCAGTTTGAGTAAATTATTCAATAGATGTCATCAATATAATTGGCTATTGGAGAAATTGTTAGAAATCCCTATTGCACAGAGAATAGTTCAAACTCACCAAATCTCACAACACAGGACACAGACAAATTTCTGTTAATGGTACCAGCTTGAAGATAAAAGATAAAATGATATCATCATTTACTACACATATGAAGCAGATGTATATATTTGGCTGTATCTTGATTAATTAGTTTGAAAAGTGTTTATTAGGCCTTTGGAAGTCAAGAAGTCCAAAATTTTAACTCCCACGACCCATAAATCAGGCCCAAACAAGGTTACATTTCTTAAATAAAATACCTTGGACTGCATAAGGACTATTAATTTATATTTGAATTAAATGTCTCTGTTCAAGTATGCACTCAACTTCATTATTTTCTGACTATAACCCTAGTTTGTTTTCCCAGTATTGTATATACTTATGTGGATCTCAGCTTCCAGCTAATTCATAGCATGATCAGAATGAATATCATTTATTAGGAATTTGTATAGATACATGTTGTGTCTCAAATTGTGCAAAACATGTCATGCTAGATGATGGAAACATGTTGTGAATCAATCAAAGAAAGAGTATGCATACGCTGCAGAAAAGAAAATGATAATGAATAATAAGTACTTCCCTCCGTTTGTGTTTACTTGTCAGCAACTTTTTACTGTAGCAAATTTGACCATCTGTTTTTTCTTCAAAAAAATCTTAGATACTTCAATGTATATAACACTAATGAAGTATGTTCAATAAAAAATCATATATATGAAAACTTAATGTATTTTTTTTTGCAAAAAGAAACGTAAGATCAAAATTGCTACAGTAAAAATTTGGTGACAAGTAAACAAAAACGGAGGTAAGTACACAGAGAACGCCTTTCATAAACATCAAACATGCATGACATGACAAGTATCCTTTTGTACTATAGAAACAGGAAACAAAAGTATATATAAAACTGAGCCACATCAATCATACATTATATTATTATATCAGGTGTCCAAGTTCAAATAATCTAGATTTGGCTTATGTGCTTCGGCTGTCAATGGCTTTGACATTTAAAACTGCTGACTTTCTTGTTCCCTTTCATCAATTATATATGCCAGAACCTCATCATTCTAGCTGAGTTGTTCTTTTTTGATGCAACCACTATGTATAAGGTTTGTCCTCATCATTTTTCCTAAGGCTTCTTTCAATAGTTGAGACTATGATTTGAGTAAAATGAAGAGGAAGAGGTAGCTGAATTGTGGCATGTTACCAGCTTATCCTTGAGCATGCATGCTGCTAGACTACATATGTGACAGAACAAATCAATGCTCTAACTTCAAATTTCATTGCAGACATGTATTGTACAAAACCCTTCTCATAGAGTTTTTTATAGTTATCCTTCTAGTCTAGTTGCAAAACATAGCCTCAAGCTCGAGGATCGATTGTTTTGGGCAAACTTGCACAATTCAACTATTATAAAGCTGTTAACGAAATGTCTTGTGTATTAGTATCATCAAATATTCTTAGTTCTTCACTCTAGAAGTGGTAGAATAATAGAATAAATCTTGTCTAGGTATACAGTATACTGATGGACTAAAATTGGCAATGCAGTATGTAGAAGCTTGGGCAAGCGCATGTATACCCCACGTGTCTTTTCCTTCATATGCAACTTGCTACATGCCGTACGTTCATTGATTGAACGCACAACTTCTTCTTTACTTGCTGTCAATCAAACAGTACTATTTCCCTCTCCCATGATGTTTTCTTATGCATCTGACATACCAGTTAACGAGTCCAAATTCTGAAACGCCATGCTTTCTCGCACATAAACAGTTGAACTTAACAATTTTGAAGATCATATGGTACAGGGGATTATTACTTTTGTTTGCTGGAGAGTTGTGAATAATAGCTACGTTCCCATTTTCAGTTAGTTTCAGTTAGAAGGTAGAACATCATAAATAAGGAGAACACCACCCAGCGAAGTTGGGCAATTTTCTGATAGCTATAAGGGAAATACTTGATCTTTGATGAAGTCCTACCATAATTAATCGGACAAAAGAATAAGTACACTGATTATTTCTTGAAAACAATTTGCAGACTCATCTTTCTGCATAGGTGAAACAACAGAGTGAAGCATATGATAGTGCTGTGCTGTTTATGAGTAGACATGTTCTTGAGACATATGAACACCGTGCAATATAGATTGATTATATTAGTACATTCTTTTGTAACTTTGGCTGAATTTTATGCAATGTTCTGATTTCTGAAGAACAATATCATCTAAATAACAGGCATGCAATTGCACTTGCTAATAACGAGATGCAAGTTACTCAGGTGCATGTTTTTTGGGATAGAATTGACACAAGGTATTTCTCCTGCTGACCTTCTTGATGGCCATGGGTTTAGTGTCTGAAGGGCTTTGAGGTATGGAGGTAAGATGTAAGGAACTCAAATGGGGTGACACATGGATCATCATAGACCATGTAAATTGTTGATTTTGTTTGTATACCGCTTAAGCTCATCGACAATGCATTATTAATTGCAGTGTAGAGTTGGCAAAATTATGATAAAGAGAACTGGGAATAAGTAAAGTGTACATTCTCAGGTACTCGATCCAAATCATGTAACTCTAAAGGCCTGGAATCATTAATAATAATAGTTCCAGATGATTCAAGTAAAAATCCCATTCTGATTCTAATGCAAATCTGGCATATATTTGAGTTTAAGCAAATTATCCATATCCATGTGCTACTTTACCATTGGTTAATATTGGGCACTAGCATCTTGCCTGAAGAGTAGTATGTAATTAAATTTCTATCATTGTTAGCTAGATTCCATAATTATTTTTATTTCATATTTTAATTGATGGTTGAAATCCCGTGTCCAAATTGTGTTTTAAGGATCATATTGCCCATGGAGTTTTCTACAAAACTCAGAACATGCAACTTCATAAACCTCAAAGTTATGGCATCAGCACACTAAATAAAAGTAACAAATATCAATAGCACGATTATATGAATAATTGACAAACAGCAATAGCTAATTAATCATTATAAGGTTAATTGCAATTAACCAAAAGTAGATAACACAAACCCGGGCTAATGGGTCTTGATTGATAGAGAACCACCAGTTAATTTATATGTACTATGTAGCAACGGATCATGGCAGAAGAAGCCTAATTACGTAATGGAAATCCTCACGCGTCAGAGTTTAGTAGACCTATAATGTTTGCATACCATAAAAGAAATCACCTTGGCATTCCTCCGTTGCATCTCGTCATCTCCTCGAGCTGCAGGCAATACTGGTAGTAGTACTCCAGCCCGTCCATCTGCTGTGGCTGCTCGGTTGCCACTGCCGGTGTAGCGCCTGAGGCCTCCGACATGATCCAGCCCAGCGCACTGCAGCTGTGTTCTTCGATAAGTGCCGGTGGCCCATCAGGACCGCCGCCGCCTCTGCTTCTTGCCTTCGCCGACGCCTCCTCCCTCGAGTCTGCCGTCAAACAGCAAGTGCATGAGGAGCTCCCCTCCCCTCTTCCCTTCACCACCGTCGGTGGTCCTCCTGAGACTGCAGCCGCCGGCTCGGCTGCGTCGACGAGGCGGTCGATGGCCGGCTTGGACTGGGTGAGGAGCCAGTTCACCGTCTTGCTGGCCTTGTCGAACCCAAGCCGGTCCTGCAGCGCGAAGAACTCTCGCGCGACCCCGACCGACAGCCGCATCCGCCGGTCGCGCACGCCCTGCGCCGTGCGGATCTTGCTGTGCCGATCCGTCCGGAACGGCCGCTTCCGCGGTGCGGCCGCGGCATGGACGCCGGCATCCACCACCACCGGTACGGACGACCCGTCGTTCCTCAGCAGCAGCTCCCTCGCCCCCGCTGCTGCCGGCGCCTGCAGGGGGGCCGTCGTCTCAGGCTGCTGGAACACCGCCTCCAGGGTATCTTGGTGGTGGAACGACATGTGGGCGGGGAAGATCTGCCCGCCGTACCCGTCCCAAGACATCGCGGTCGACGGCATACGAAAACAAGGAGCTGCAGTAGGGTTCGTTAAATGACTGCTCTTGCTGGTAGACGCAATGATGATGATGGTGATGAGGACGGCTGTTAGGGTAATGAGGTAGCGTTTGTGTGTTGCTGTGCACTCTGCACTATTTGTCTCCATATGGCTAGTGCTAAACTAAACCATTAATTTGTAAGTAACAGAGGTGGTTGAAGTACAAGCTAGCTTCTAGCCGCAGTGGTATATATAAAGCGCTACAGCGGCCTTTTGTTAGTGCAATGCATGGAGCATCATACACGTACAGTGCACCTACCTAGTTTTACTTGTACTGCTGCTTTTTATACAAGAAAACATGTGTAGCTATGCGTACATTGTTACAGAGGGAAAAGAGAAACTAAAACAAATACTATAGTAGGGTCTAAAAGCAGGAGGACAGGTAGAGATGGAGTCATGGAGAAAGGTGCACACTGTAACTTGCTGGATATAAGAAATGCATACACTAGTGGTCACGGGTCAGGGTCAATGCTGATAAGCTATGGCGAGCTATGCATATATTATTATTGTGCTTCGCGGTGTAGGTCACGGTGTATGCATGTACAGTACTCACCCATCTCAAATTAAATCAACTTAAGGTACCCTCAATAGTACCTCAACAGTATCAACTCTTTACTGGCTCTAAGAACAGCTCTAGAGGTAGCCCTCAAACAGGTCCCTTTTTTTTCATTTGAGGATTTTCCTACTTTTAGGGTGCTATTTGCTGGAAAATACTCTAACGCCCTCAAAATATGGTCCTCAAATTCATTCTAGTAGGAAATGACATGTGAGACCCTGTTAGTCATCCTCTTTCTTATCTTCTTCCTCGTAGACTAACTTGGACATGTCTTGCGAGCCAGGGTTCCCACATACTCATGGGCGAGGGTTGTACTACCGAAGAGCCGGGGCTCACACTCGCGGGCGAGGGTCTCACGAGCAAGTGTTGTGCCACCGGGAAAGGGAGTTGTCGAGGACGTCGCGGAAAGGGAGCTGCCAAGGAGAGGGGCTCGCTAGACTTGGCTGAGGTGATGGCGGAGCAGCCGAGGACGAGGCCGGGCGAAGGGCAGGGCATTAGGGGGAGATTTGAGGGCATCCTACTTTTGAGGACCGGAACAGGGCTCTGTTAGAGAGAGGTTTTTTCCCTCTGGCCCTCAAAAGTAGGATAGGGCCTGAATAAGGGCCCTGCTAGAGTTGATCTAAGACAAATTCTCCCATAATATTAACTTTTAGCAAATAACTTATAATATGAATAGGCGACATAATAAGCTCACACGATCTTGAAGTATGTGCATGACGCTAGCTCTTGCTCTCTCTTCGATTAAAATATGAAATAATGTGTTATGAGCTACTCCATCCCTCCTTCCAAAAAAGAGCGTCGCTACGAAGTTCGTGTTGGTCAAACTTTCTTAAATTTGACTAGGTTTCTAGAAACTATTAGCAATATTTGTATCTTCAAATAAGTTCATTATGAAAATATATTCAGCGGTTTATCTAATGATATAAATTATCCACTATAAATGTTAATATTTTCTTATATATTTGGTAAAAGTTAGACAGCCCGTTCCGCTGATCAGATTTTGGATAATTTCGGATGATTCAATAGTATTCTGTGAGAGAGAATAAACTGAAACAAGCTGAGAACTGATCAGCCGAACGCCCCCAGAAGTATTTGAACTCGCTCGGGAAGTGAAAATGACACTCTTTGTGAGATGGTAGGAGTATCTCATAAGTCATCATTGGAGGTGCCCTTAAAAATTATTCTAAGTTAATATATTTTAAGTTTGACTAAATTGATCCTGTTCGCTGGTCTGAAACTTGGCTGAAACTGGCTGGTTTTGTGAGAGAGAAATACTATAGCGGCTGGTTGATGAACAGCGTTTTTTGAGGAGGAGCAGCCGGCTGGTCTGGAAAAACCAGACCAGGGAACGGCGCTATTGAATACCAATATTTAGAACACTAAATTATTATATATCATGAAATATATTTTTATTATATATGCACTTATTTTGTGTAAGAGATGTTCTATCTTTTTCTATGAAGACAATCAAGCTTAAAATTATTTGACTTAGAATGATTTTAACAATCGGTTTATTTTAAGACAGAGAGAGGGGCATATTATTACGCCTATAGGTGATGTGTGCTGTGGTACGGTGCCTGTTGGTTTGAACTTATCAGCGCTGTTGTGCAGCCGCTGTGTCTGTGATCTCTCTCATGCAGCACTGTTCAAACAGCAGCAGCGGGCTGCAATTAAGTTTATCTCTTGTGTTCGCTTCTGTAGTATTTGATACAGTGACCCTCCGGAACCCCGACCAGACTGGCAGAGTCCAAGCTCTTTCAAAGTAGTGGCGGCAGTGTAGGGGCCCAGCAAGGGATGGCTGCGGGCTGCCTGCCGAGCTAGTGCATGCTACCGCTACGTAGCAGCCTACTGGTGCTTTTGCTGTTAGAGTGGTGTGTGGCCTAATGATAAAGCCATTAATATTGAGAGGCCTATATGCGTACTGTATGGCCACGTGGGGAGGCTTATGCGCATCTGGCCATCGCGCAGGTCCTGGGGTGGGGCAGACCAGACAGCAGAGGGGCGGCCGTTCTAGGGCCTCGAAATGAAGGGTCCTAGATTGTTAATAGAGCAAAATATAGAAACAGTTTTTAAATTTGTTTGGGATATGTTATCTAATTTCTTAAACTCTTAAAATATGCTTTTAGACTCGAACTTATCTCTAGGTGTCTTTCAGGTTTACAACTCTTAAAATTTTACTTTTGAGCAAACCTATCACAGAATATCATATAGTAGGTCTAAAATGAGCCAGCTCGCCCACATACATGTTGTCACTAGACTCTAGGGCTCGATCTACATGTTGTTCCTCTTTCTTCTAGTTGCATCTACATGCTCTCCTCCTCTACACATTCGAATCCAGTGTGGTATATGACGCATCGCCATTTTATCACTTGAATTAAAAAGAACGAAATGGAAAATGGGTGCTTGTTAGATCAGTCATAGGTAGGCCCAAGCCCAGCCGACTAGCCCACATCTCCCATAACCCTTTTAGACCAGCACCCTCCTCCCACTTCTATTCATCCTCTCCAGACCAGCCACTCTCTCCTTTCTATGTTCCCTGTCCTCCTCCACTTCTCTCCCATGGATTCCCCACCCTAAATCCCCCTCTACAGCGCCATATCATGAGGAAAACTAGCAAAACGGGTCGAAGTGAACAAGAGGAGCAAGAAAGCTCACTACAAAGGCTGGCTTACTCCACATTGTAGAGTAAGCCACCAGGGCTTGGGTTTCACCGAACCCTATCCTCCTCTCAAGGCAAGAGAGCAAGTCTCAAGCTTGAGGGTTCTTACTAGATTTTTTAGGTGAGTACAAACTTCCCAGAGAACACACAAGAGGTTGAAGTGCTTCAACGGGCGACGCCTAGCCGTCTAGGAGTTGTTGCTCCAAGAGTAACAACTGCAAGAAGCCGACTTGAACATGAACCAAGGTGTCTTAGGAGTTGAAGCTCAAGATTGCAAGCTCTCTTATGCAATCTGGAGGCTAATCTCTCAAGGAATCAATAGGGCTTGATGGGACAAGGTTGGAGAGCCATCAATGGCTTAGGAGAGCTTGTCTGTTGGTTGTTCGACATTGAATGTTCGAACTTACCGTTGGGAGGAAGAAGTGGTATTAATACCCCCTATCTCCCAACTAGCTGTTAAGTCATGCCAGTTCTACAGAATGTGCGGCACTTCTGCAGTGCGGCAGTGTAGCGCACCCACATGGCACTTCTGCGCATGCCAGCAACAGAAATAAAAACTGAGCTTTGGCTGGCTTGGCTAAGATGCGAGAAAACATCAAGGTGGGTGAAAGATGAGCACTTGGTTGTACATTTGAGCTTGCATTTTGCATCCCTCTTGATAGTATGCCGGTTCCTATGCTCAATTTCAAAATATAAAAATGAGTTTAAACTTCCATTGAGTCCACCACCGCATCATTTGTAATTGGGGGCTCCACCAAGTCATTAGCATGGCCTGCTTGTTAACTCGATAAATCTCATTAATTCTCTAATTATGTAGTCATCATTACCAAAACCCACATTAGGGCTTGATTGCACCTACACAAAGGTATTATGCGGTTTGCACTGGAGGAAAGCTTAGCATGAAGTACATTGGTCCATTTGAGATCATGGCCTTGGTAGGAAGCTTGGCCTATTGTTTGTAGTTGCCAGATTCATTTAGGTGAGTACACAATGTCTTTCTTGTTTATATATTGAGGAAGTATCTAAGGGACCCTGAGCATAAGGTTGATCTAGAGCCAACTAGAGTGGAGCAGGATTTGACAATTGAAGGCCACCTTGCGCATATTGGACTCTTTAGAGCGAGTCATGAGGAGTAGAACTATCAAATACATTAAGGTTCAATGGACTAACTAGTCAGAGCAAGAAGCAAATTGGGAGCTCAAAGAGTGAATACGCAAATTGTACCTAGAACTCTTTTAGACTAGTGAGTTATATGTCTTCAAGTTATGTTTTGCTCGCCCAAATATTTTAGCTTGGGATGGTGGAATTTGGGGATGAATTCTTTAAAGGAGGGGTGAATGTAACACTTGAATAAAATATAAATTGTGTGCTTGCTAGGCCAACCATGGGTAGGCCCAAGCCCAACCAACTAGACCACATCTCCCATAACCCTTTTAGACCAACACCCTCCTCCCACTTCTATTCATCCTCACTATACCAACCACTTCCTCCTTTCTACGTTCCTTGTCCTCCTTCCCGTCTCTCACATGGTATGACCCACCCTAAATCCCCTCTCTACAGCACCAAATCCTTGAGGGAAACTACCAAAATGGATCAAGGTCGACAAGAGGAGCAAGAAAAGGTGCATGCTCAATGTAGATCGACCCTTCCCCATCTCTACCCCATGCTCTAGGGTTTTTGGGTGAGCAAAATGTGAGTTGGATTTCATCCTTTCCTACACATGTTGGGTGTTTAGAGCGGATTTTGGTC